TATAATCACATAAGTTAGGAATCAGTGCAGAAAAAACTTATTTCTAATCACTTTTATAATTTCCTGTATTCTAAATGAATGTTATGGTGTATGAGAAATAATTAGCTGATTGTTTATCAATGATAACTATCAACTACTCTAACTGTCAAATCCTTAGATTTTATATATTCTTAATAGTAATCATGTATGAACATCAATAGATATCATAGTCCATATCATCTTTAATAATTAAGTCATTGTAAATTTTTACTAAATCAAAGCTGACTAGCAACTTTTAATGTTCAAATGATACTTTCCAAAATGTTATGTTAATTATGAGCGAAGATAGATAATGGCTAGCAGTATAATCCAGCTGACGAGTTTCAAAAAGAACGAAATGCACATCCTGGATTCCACTGCTAGCCATCATCCATCTTTGTTTATAACGTTTGTGAATTAAGGCTATATCAAGGCAATACGCACAGTATGCACATATGCCAATAAAGAGATTGAACAATTGCAATCCTAGACATTAATGGGAAGATTTAAACAACCTACTATAAAACTCATTGGTATTGATATATTCTCGTAATTCATGTTACGAATTAGTTTAGAGGAAGATTTAATGAAAAACAGTATCTATTATATTATTGTTTCAACCCACTTTAAGAATCATCGCTATTTCATGGCGGTAACGGTCATAGAAATCAAAGCTATAATTGTTATTCTTTTCCGTGAATGCTTTGTCGTCAGGTTGTAGGGTTGATATTTAGTTAGTTTATAATACTTTATGGTAATAGCCCCCAAATGCCCTGGTACGGCCGAGAGTGAGGAGAGTCCGCTCTCCCTCTCCAAATGCTCTCATATGACCACGCGAATATATAGCCTCTGACAGGGAAGTCCTACTAACTGCCTTCTCGTGGCCACGGTGTTGTTCACAAATGTGAGAGGATGGTAAGCGAATGTCCGGTGCTTTAACCGGGTTGGTGGATGTGGAGGATCCACCTAGGGGAGTTGGAAAACCTTGATTTCAAACCAATAGTGCACATAGGCTCCAGTATCCTGATGGAACAAATGGCGTATGCATCAATCATTGATCACCGGCTACCATGGGACTGCATCTCCTCACGATGCAACGGCATTGCCTTGTGGATCAGACATTCATGCCAAAGGCTCCGGGTGTGGCCCCCTAAGAAAACCACCTGCTTCGGTCTGATCACCTGGGCAGTATCTCACACAAATCGAATGAGATTTGTTAGGCGCATATTTATCTGGTGCTTCCTTGTACCAATATTTATGTGCTTAAATAAAATAAAATAGAAATGGTAATATTTCGATAACATAACTTTATTTCAATTTGATAGAAATATATTTAATACTTTTTCAATGGTCAGTAAAAGGATTTATGGAGCTTGAAGTATTTTCACAGTTCAATTCACAAGTTGATTTAAGCCAGACGAACATGAAAACCTGGAAGCACTAGACGGCCGTTAAACATTAACATCGTTGTATTTCAGCCGGTTCACTAGCCTAGAGATTGAGCGCTCTTGCATGAAACCGAAGGTCAGGGGTACGAATCCCGCGAGTAAAATCGTGGATGAGCACTGTTAAGAAGTCCCATACTAGGACAAAATGACCGTCCAGTACTTTCAGGTTTTTAATAATGGTCTAGCATAAATTGTACTCATGAATTCAACTCCTTCAGTTGTTGAATAACTGTTATATTCCGAAGCGATTTATAAATGGTAACTTTGAGAACTATTTATGGACCAATGTGATATGTATATTTGCTATTGTATAATTGTTAAGTGACTTAACTATTCCTATTCATGTTCCTCTCATTATGAGATGTATTTTAACCCATATACTATTATTATACGATTTACCATTCCTGAGTCATCCCTAGTCTGTTGATTACTGTTCCCCCTATTCACAGCCACATTTGGCTAAATCTTATACAAATGTTATTTTTTATTTTATGGAACGATGTGGTCTGTTTGTTTGGTATATAAACTCAGTATGTTTGAAAATAATGATTCATATTGCAAAGGCTGTTATTGGTGTTTGGGACTTAACTGGCTAGGCTAGGCATAGGCAGGACCGACAAATACTCAAGACTGCTCATACGGTTTTTGTGTATCATTGGATCCGATCGATAAAATCACTGCTCTCCTATTGGCAGTCTTATGACGTCATATATAAAACAGGGCACGCACTCACACTAACAAATATCCAATTAATATTGTTTGTTTCAATCTTCCCATTGATGTTTAGGACTGCGATTGATCAGTCTCTTATTGGTACATGTGCATACTGTGTGTATTGCCTTGATATAGCCTTATTTCACAAGCATTATAAACAAAGATAAATAATAGCTAGCAGTGGAATCCAGAACGTGCGTTTCATCCTATTTGGGACTACCAGATGCAGGTACACCCAGCTGACGAGTCACAAATAGAATATCCTAGATTCCACTGCTAGTCACTATCCATCTTTGCTTACTAATAAATATCATTTTACTCAAATATCAAATTTTTTTCTTTTTTCTTATTCTGTTGTCTAAATATTCAATTATTTTTTTTTGTATAATCTAATTTTTTTAAGGCTACAATTTCAATAAAACCAAATCTATATCGATGGTCATTTATCTAAATTCTAGTCCATTTTTTAGAGATCAACAAAATAAATGTTACATTTTTTTTCTTTTTTTGTTCAGATTACCCCCCCCCTCTTTAATATTGAAGTAGGTTTTCTTTTTTATTATCAAGAAGATTTTCTACAGTAATCAATTATTGAGTTTACCAAATACTCTATACTACTAATTCTACTACTATTACTACCACTACTTCTACTAATTCTACTACTATTACTACCACTACTTCTACTACTACTACTTCTACTACTACTATTATTATTATTATTACTACTACTACTACTAGTACTACTACTACTACTATTATTATTACTACTACTACTAGTACTACTACTACTATTACTACTACTACTGCTACTATTATTATTATTATTACTACTACTACTACTACTACTACTACTTCTACTACTACTACTACTACTACTACTACTAATAATAATAATAATAATAATAATAATAATAATAATAATGAGAAGATATATAACCATGAAATCTATTGACTGTTAAACAAATGGACCCTATGAAGTATGTCAAACAAAGACGAACTATTTATTGTGCCAATTTCTTTAGAATGATTCTTCAAATGAATGGCTTGATCTATATATATAGATAGTGTATATACAGAACTAAAGTGTTTATGTATTTATTTCTTTAAAAGTAATAACTAAAACAATAATAGACTGAATGAAAATAATTAGCTTTTTCGAGTTGTTTCTTATTTTCACATTAAAAACAATTTGAAGTATTAGAGAATAGTTTCATCTCAGAATGACAGTATTAAAGGTGTTGCGTTCTTTGAGAGTCCTTATTTACTTATTTACTTACGTCTGTTACCCCTCGTCGGGAAGCATAGGCCACTCACCAGCATTCTCTATTCAACTCTGTCCTCAGCGATCCTTCCCAGTTCTTTCTAGTTAACATTCATCCTTTTCATATCGGCTTCTATTTCCCAAAGTGGTGTGTTCTTTGACCTTCCGCTTTTCCATTTCCTTTCACCATTACAAGATAGAAATTGCCTCGTGATGCAGTTTGGTGATTTTCACTGTGTATGTCCTATCCACTTTTAACGTCTTTTCCTAATTTCCTCTTCAGCTCGAAGCTGGTTTGTCCTCTCCCATAAAACGCTGTTGCTAATAGTATCCGGCCAATGAATGTTGAGTATTTTGCGTAGACAACTGTTTATAAATACTTGTACCTTCCTGATGATGGCCGTAGTAGTTCTCTACATTTCAGCTCCTTACAGTAGGTCTGTAATGACCTTCTTTGAGAGTGTAACACTCATGAACGTAACTACTTAACACTGCTTTCTGTTTTCAAACATTACTATTTCGTTGTTTTTCAATCAAAATATGTATAACCTGTCAATAATACACTTCCAAGTTAAAAGCTATACACTACAATAAAATAATAATTTATAGTTAATAATAGTACTACAAGTATTAGATTGACATTGTTGTAAAGATTTAACTAAACGAAGTTCCCTTCGAGCTTGATAGATTTCAAAAAAGAAGATTATTTTAACAAGAAAGTGGGCAAGTATATTGTTCTAACAGTAATAATACTCTGGTTAGCTTTTGTTTAACAAAATCGTTTTCTACGGGATGTAGTTCCTGAATCCATGCCCAACCGTTCTCATTTGTGTGAGCTTGGGACCGATAGTAACCCCAGAAGAGTTATAGACGGAGTTAATAATACTCTAGCTTTGAGAAATAAGCACTAAAGAAATTAAATAAACGGATTCCAGTAGGTGAAAGGATTTACATTTCGGACCTTCACTCACCCTTTCATTGATATTCCAGATGAATGTAACATATTAGTTTACATGTTATTTAAATTTTTGATGAAGTATAAACCTTCAGTTTTAAGTAACATTGAGCTGCGTTAGAGAAATTGTCAACGAAAATTTAAGCTAATACTTCAAAACAAAGCTATTTGAATCAGCTCTGAATTTTGGAATAATATAAGCATTTTATATAGTTGAGATCATGAGATCAATTGAAACCAGACCACCATAGAAAACCCGGACGGCCGTTTCTTCCTATTGTAGCACTCCTCAGCAGTGCGTATCCACGATCCCGACTCGCGAGATCCGAACCCAGGACCTACCAGTCTCGCGCCAGAGCACTTACCAAATAGATTACTGAGCCGGCCCGCATCTAACGATGTTGATATCTCACCACAACCAATCCGCGAAATCGCGCCACTAACTTTCATTGTACTGAGGTAGATACCTGCCTCCACCTGACATGGATTAGCATTGATTTGACCATTTCATTTAACTTCTCTTTTTTTTCAGGAGACTGGCATTAATCATTTCATCATATAGAGAATGAGTGACTGCAATCATTATTAGCTACACACATGATCAATGGATTCTGAAAATCGTGTAATATTAAATGTTGGTGGTATAAGACATGAAACATACAAAGCCACATTGAAGAAGATCCCAGCTACTCGATTATCAAAATTAACTGAAGCTGTGGCAAATTATGATCCAATATTAAATGAATACTTTTTTGATCGTCATCCAGGTGTTTTTAATCAAATATTGAATTATTATCGTACTGGTAAATTACATTATCCTACAGATGTATGCGGACCATTATTTGAAGAAGAACTTGAATTTTGGGGTCTTGATGCTAATCAAGTAAGTTCTATAAATTATGCATAAATTGGATTTTTATTCTGTAAAGAAGATATCAGTACAAAATAATTAAAATCATGAACGGATCTAATTTAGACAACTATCGGAAACCTGAAAGCAATAGAGTGCCCATTTCTTTCTAGTATTGGAGTCGAATTCAGCACCTTCCATTTCGTATGCAAACGCTTAACCCATAGAACGCATCCAACGATGTTAATGTTCAACTCGAATCAATCCAAGATATTTTATGAATGTCTTCTATTGTCCTCGGTAGGTAATTGCCTCACACTCGGCACAGTTGAACTTTAACGGTCACAACTTTTCACTAGGACTCCATGAATACCCTCTCGAAGTTAAGTCACTAGCGAGCACGCAGTTATTTTTTAACAGAGAGTTGTGGAGAAATCTCATATTAAAACGAAACAGACATACAGTACTTTCAGGTTTACAACGGTTATTTAACTTAGATCAGTTCATGATTTTAGTGAAACTTAACCCGTTTTAAGAATGTAATTGTTAGCTGAATTTTTTATCTGTTAACTTGTGAGTTGACAAGTCAACATCGATAGCTTCACAATAGAGACTTAGTGATATGTAAATATTCATTATTGATGAAATAATCTTTGGTGAACAAATATTATTGCATTATGATCTGTTATATCCCGATGAGAATTATGAGTGGTAACTTTTGAGAACTATTTATGGACCAGTACAACGAATCTATTTTTATTGTATAATTGTTAAGTAACTAAACTATGCACAATCATATTCCTCTTATTCTAAGCTTTATTTTGATGTTTGAACCATTATGATACGATTTGCCGTTCTTAAGTTATACCTAGTCCATTAATACAATCTCCTACATTCACAGTCACTTATAGTTAGATCTTGTATAAGTATCAGAAGGGATTTTTGTGGATATTATAGTAATTTTACTATAATAGTTGATTTCATGAGTCAATTGAAGCTTACACTACCATGCAAAACCTGGAAGTTCTGGACTGCCGTTTCGTTCTCGTGTGGCACTCCTCAGTAAGGCGCATTCACGATCCTCGCGGCGAGATTCAAACACAGAATCTATCGGTCTCGCGCGGTAATGCCTAAACTGTGTACCACTGAACTGGCATCAAACAGTGTTAATGTCTAATTCCAACCAATCCACGATATTGCGCGAACATCTTTAATTGTTTTCAGTGGGTAACTGTCTCACACCTAACACGGATGAACTTCATTGGCGACGGCGTTGATACCATTAGATTCCGGCTAGAGGTTAGGCGCTCGTGCGCAAAACTAATAGGTCTGGGGTTCGAGTCTCTTGAGGCGGGATCGTGGATGCGCACTGCTGAGCAAATCCATAATAGGGCGAAACGGTCGTCTAGTGCTTTCAGGTTTTCCATAGTAGTCAAACTTTAATTGACTCATGAATTCAAGTATAAAATTGACAATGATTGCAAAGTATGTACAATATCCTGAAATAAAATGAACAAATTATTGAATAACAAAACAGTTATATTACAAAAATTCTTTGTCAACCTTCAACTATTTAACATTGAAAGCATTCTTCTATAACATACTTTTCAGAAACTTTTAAGCATTAACTGCATTGAATAAAGAATCTAATGCCTAGAAAAGGATTGAACTTTATGATCACTCAAATATTATAAGCAAAGATGGTTATTTGCTAACAGTAAAATACATGACGCGCGTTTCGTCCTATTTGGGACTCGTCAGATAAGTGTTCCTGCATCTCAGAGTTGATGTCCACTCTGGGACTCGAACCCAGTATCGTTCATTTTAAACATCACCACGTTATTCACTAACCTAACATCCAACTGATGAGTCTCAAATAGAACGAAACACACATCCTGGATTCCATTGCTAGCCACTATCTATCTTTGCTTATAATGCTTGTGAATTAAAGCTATATCGAACCAATAGGCACAATATGTGCATACGTCAATAAGAGACTGATCAATGACAGTCCTAAACATCGATGGTAAGATTCAACCAACTAATAACAAGTGAATTTAACCTAAATATTAACACTGCTGAGTAGTCCCATAATATGATGAAACGGTCTTCCAGTGCTTCCAGGTTTTCGATAGTGGTCTAGCTTCAATTGACTCATGATTTTAACTATGAAAATACTAAATTCTCCACAAAACCCCCTCCTTTGATCTAAATATTAGTTTCTCACTGAAGTTAGATTGTCTATCATCTATGTAGTCCAATTTAATCTTTCATTTCAGTTTTGTTATTCACTATTATTATATCTATTTAAAGTGTTTATATAATTTCTATGATAATATCTTTCTTTTGTTTTAATTAAATCCTTTATCTTAAAAAAAAACAAACAAATCTACCGTTCAATTCACCACTTTTTTCAGGAAGGGGGAGTTGGCGGGAGAATGGAATGTTCTTTGTTTATATAATCAGTAAACCTGTACATGATTCTCATCTATTGACTGTATACATTTCATAGAAATAGGTACACCTATACAGGAATAATGGACGTACATACACATACACACACACACACATGTACCGATAATTATAAAAATGACAATTGATGGAAAGTTGATGAAACTTCATTAGAAACCAAGGAAATTTATTATAAGACTAAGATCTTTTGTTGTTTTCCAACGGATTAATATTTTATGAAGATATAAATTAACTATAAATAAGATAAAATCCTAAATCTATCATTATTATTATCAGATAAAGCGCAAGATTGTTGGAGTAGGGGTTATCATTGTCGTATGATAATCTCTCTCTGGTCTCAGTGTACAGCATGTTGGAGAGTTCAAGGGCCAATACCGTAGAGTCGGTTGTTATGATCGGTAAGGTGTACTTATTACTGTATCAGATACAACTTATATCAATCATCCTTGTCGGACAGCAGCTTCTTTTATAAATTGCTTGAGCCTGTGTTTATCATGCGATTGAAAGGCGATCCCGTTCCTTTTAATCGTTGTGCAAGACTTCAACTGAGCATTACAACAAGACTAGTCTCAGTTCCTGTGAAAATAAACAGCATGATTATGAGTGCGTTATAGTTATCTTGGGGTCGGCGTATCTCTCTATCTCTAATGGGTGATTGAAAGTAGACAATTACCATACAAAGGTTCATTCGACGATTTTCACTTGACTGGAATGGTATCTATTAGAGCCAGTTTTTGTGGTACAATGGATACTCAGTGTCTGTTCACCGGATACCATCAGCAATGGCCTTCTATGAGAGAGAACAAAACAGCTTCTAGCTGAAGAGGAAATCAGGAAAAGACGATGGAGGAAATACATTATGGAAATTATCAAATTGCATCATTGGCCAAGCGCTTAATTGAAATCCTAAATGGAAACGGAAAGTAGGAAGACAGAGGAACACACTACGTCGCGAATCGGAAACAGACATGATCAGAATGAATAGCAAGTGGAAAGAACTGGAAAGTATTGTCCAGGACAGAGTTTGAAGAAAAATGCTGGTGGACGGCTTATGCTCCCCCACGAGGTGTAACAGGCTTAAGCAAGTAGGTGAATAAGTTGTGGTACATCAAGCAGGAGTTACCATCAGTAGTATTTTAAGACCAATGTACCCACCAGAGATAAATAAGTAAGTGAATAGTGGTCTTAAATAGACGGTAAATTTAAGCTTACAGTTCATAATTTCACTACGATTATGTTATGTAATCATCTACTAGGTATATTCCATTTGTTACCACAAATCTTGAATCTGTATAGGTTTATTTACTTGAAGCCAATTACTTTATACCTAGTAACTCGTTGAAATCGTCAATAAGTAAATACTGAAATCTCCACAAAACCCCTTGTGATTATAATCATATGCTCACTAGTGACTGACTTCATGGGATGTTTCCTTGAGTTCTAATGGGAAGCAGTAACCATTAGAGTTCAATTAAGTCTGTTGTGGAGATATCAACTCACTGAAGACAATTGGTGAACGGTTGCTTAAACTTCGTGGATTGGTTGAAGTAAGACATTAACACCATCGGATGCCTGCAAACCGAGTGGTCTATCAGTTAAGTGCTCTGACTCGACACCCCCTTCTGATCAATAAATTTTTTAGCGTGATTTCCCTTATTCTAAATATACTACTTATTAAATTACCAGAATCAATTGAGAATATATTGTTTACAAATCAGTAGACAACATATGAGGATATATAAATCTATAAACCACCTATACATAAGAAGTAAACAATTACCTATCCAAATAAATAAACTATCATAGTCAAGTTAGATATAACAAACATCAACAATATATTGACAATAAGTAGCTACTGATCTATATAGATTTCTACATATAGAATGATGTAAATACCAATGATGTTGACTACTTTATTATGGATGTTATATGAGAGAGGTGAGAAATACACAATGGAATTTAAAAAGAGAGTCAATATGAATCCATTTTCAATTCTAAACATTAGACAATAGTTAAATAGATTACATCACTATAATCATAAACAAACGTTTATGCAAATTGTTTTGTAGTTGAGATCATGAGTCAGTTGAAGCTAGACTACCATGGAAAACCTGGAAGCACTGGGGGCCGTTTTGTCCTGTTGTTGAACTCCTCAACAGTGCGGCATCCACGATCCATCCACTGCTTCCAGGTTTTCCATAATGGTCTAGGTTGCATTGACTATAACTATAAAATTACTAAAATCTCCACAATACCCCCTTCTGAAATTGTTTTTGTATTTTAACATTAATTAAATAAATATTCATCTACATAACAATAAAACAACGAACCAAAAGATCCTAAAACACCCTATTGAATGTTTTACTACATAGTATAAACCACTTTTTTTCTTCAATCAAACTCTTATTTACTTACCTACTATTACTCCCGATGGAGCAGAGGCCCCCGACACGCACTCTACAACCCACTCTGTCCTGGGCCTTCCATTCTGGTTCTATCCAACTTTTGTTCATTCTTCTCATGTCTGTTTCCATTTCTCGGCGGAGTGTGTTCTTTGGTCT